CCAAGTGACTCGAGATCAACTGCAACAGCAACCGGATCACACGCTCCACGTAGTCGAACGGCAACACAATAAGTGCTGCCTCCATGTCATGCGGCCGGATACGCCGCAGCGTCTGGAGCACGTACTTGAGCGGCGAGTAACCCAACAGCAGCATATTCGGCGGACGATTTGCCTTCTTCAGCTTCTTCAATTCCCCGAGCTCGTCTTCAAGCTTGTCTTCCGTCGTAGGCAAAGCGTTCAATGTCGCCTCCTCCACCGACTTCTTTTTCTCCTGCTTGAGCTTCTTCGCGGCGGCAGCAGCCTCCTTGAGCTTCTTCTTCTGCACTCTTGCAAAGTCAGCAATAGCCTGCACCTCCGTTTCAGCCAAGTCAATAGCTTCCATCAAACTCTCGCCGGCACGAACTGACTCAATGGTGCGTTTAGCAGCTGGAGCTGATGTGGCATTGCTCGCCTCTCCAGCCTCACTCTTGTCCTTGCCCAGAGCCGGTCCTTTGTTGTTACTGTTCGACGTCAGCTCGTCTTCAAAAAGCTGCTCCATCTCTTTCTCCTTTTCCTCCTCAATGAAAACCTGGTCTTCCGTACGGACGTACTTGCACAGCGAGCGGTCTTGCGAACAACTCACTACAAAGCTACCATCGCTACTAACCGCTAGGCCCCAAATTTCACCAAAGTGTTGGCCATCAATCTTGAGAATACGCTCAAAATGATCGCCGTCCCAGTAGCAGATCGACTTGTCCTTCGAGGCAGTAAAAAAGTAGTGCGTCTTGTGCACGAAGCGCACGCACATGATGCTGTCCTGGTGTGCGAAAATGGACTTGTGACAATCGCCAAAATCAAGACCCCACAGCTTCACATTCTTGTCAGCAGATGCCGTCACTAGCATCGCGTCGTCCGAAGATATATCCATCGACATGACCGGAAGCTTGTGGCCATACAAGCTGACAAAGAACTTCAGCGAGTCATCGTGAAACACCTTGACCGTGCAGTCCAACAAAGCCACTGCTACAACCAGTTTTTTGGAGTCCTTTGTGTTGCTATAGCGAACGCACAGCACATCATCCGACATCTTGAGCATGCGGGTGTGTGAGAGGCCTAGACGCAACGTGCTATTCTTCTCGACATTGTCGGAACGGTGCATCTCAAAGTCCCAAAAATTTACGCGCTGATCCGCACCTCCAGTAACAATACCACGTCCATCAGGACGCACATCGATGGACCAGACAGCACTACCATTGTGAGCCTGCTCGTCCTTCCAAATGCACTCGCCTGAGTTCAGATCGAAGAGCAGCAGCTGACCAAGCTTTGTGCCCACAACAACGTACATATTGCCTGGTGCGAACACCGCCGACAGCGCGAGCGATAGATTATCACTCAACGTACGAATACACTGCAGTGAACGAGCGTTCCAGATCTTCACAGACGCACCTGCCAGCGACAAAACGAGCTGGTCATCTGAACTGATCGCTACTTGACGCACATCAGATCGGTGCCCACTCAACGTAAGTACATGGGACTTTCCGTATCTGTTCTCAAGCGTCGTCGCACTTGGTGAGAGCGTGTACGTCTCGATGCTATTGTTCTGCAATCCAAGCATCAACGACGTGGTACCGTCCTTGGCAACGTCAGGGGAGAACGCAAACGACTTGACACGGTGAGACGATCGCACCACACACAAGAGCTCTAGTTCATCCGTTGCCAAATTGTCAGCAGCATCCTCTTCCTCCTCCTCCTTAGCTGCCTGTGTCTTATGTAACGCCAGTGGTTTGCTCTTCTTTCCCACCTCCTCAACCTGCTGCTGCTTTTTTTTGGCCTTTTCTCGCTGTCGCTTCTCGCGACGTTGACGCTTCTTTTTCATCTCGTCTGCTGACCGCACACGGTAGATCTCGACCGTCTTCCCTGCGCTTTGCACTCCCACCAAGTCTCCCTTGATATGGTATGCAACGCTCGACACGCGGTCATTGCTCTGCCTACAGATAGATCCCAAGAGCTTGACAATCTCTCCCTCCTTGTCAGTCTGCTGGACGCTCCACACTCTTAGCTGATTGTCCGACGCGCCCGTCACAAGTCGATCTCCCTTCACATTCAGAGCCAACGACCACACTTCGTTTCGGTGACCCACACACGTCTGCAAACAGTGCTGTGTCTCCAAGTCCCAAACTTTCACGAGCGTATCCTTTGAGCTCGAGACCAATGTCCTGGGTGTCAAGAAAGCAACTGCTGTCACCGCGTCCTTGTGTCCTTTGAGTCGAAAGAGCCCCGTCTGGCTCACCAAGTCCCACACAATCACGTCCGTATCTCGAGAACCAGAAGCCAACTCTGCACCATCTGAGCGGTACGTCAGCGTCTCCACTGCGCTCTTGTGACCGTCCAGAGTCACAATGAGAGCACCCGTAGCAAGTTTAAACACACAGATGACACCGGAAGAGTACCCACACACCACGTCATTGCCGTCAGGACTTAGAGCCAATGCCGTCACTTGACCGCTACCGCTATTTTCAGATATCTGGAGGTCCCGCACTTTGTTGCCTTGGCGAATATTCCACACAGCTGCAGACTCAAGTGCAGGGGCGACAGCAAAGCGACCACTGGCGTCGTAGATGACGTTGCCTTCCACGGAAGAGATCACGCCGAAAGAGCACGAGCGCTCGTAGCGCAGGTACGACTTGACCATGAGCTACAACGTGGACGTGGGGGTTAAGGTATCGCTTAGAGGCTGAGGTTGATGGTAATGTTGACGATATGGTTGGCGAGGAGCTACGTGACTGGACTGCAACGATTTGTGTAGATTTGATGTGGACGAGGGTGTTTTTCGACGATTTGGACCGGATTTTGGGAGCGATGGATGGTACATTTGCGAATAGCAGATTTGGACCGAGCAAAACGCCACTGTTTTCAAGGAATATGGTCCGTTCTCTTGCTGACTATATTTAGCATGTGATCAGGCGCTGCACTACTGGTGATTGCGCGTATCTCTAGTACACCACGCGGACTGTGAAACGATACGGCCAGCTCTTTTGTTGAAATTGTCAGTATTCTGCGCATTTTTGAGGGCAGTGGTGGAGTCATCCTGCACTGTTACGAAGCTTGTACCCGTCGATATCAATCGGTGCACCTTCGATGGCTACTTTGACTACGTCATGATGGCAGTCCTGGTTGTTTCAGCTGCCTAAGTCGATTGAAGAACTCCTTATGTATTGAAATGGATGTGCCCGAATTCACGATTTCATGATGTTGCAATGGAGGTTTGGACGAAGGGATATCCACCTATGATCCCCTATTTTGAGCGAATCAGTTCCAATCGCCAGTTTTTTTTTTGAAAGTGAGGTATGTTGAGGAACTATGGCGACCAACAATACCCATACTGTAACGGGGCACCCTGAAGCTTGTACTGGTGACAGTACAAGCTACTTATTCTGATGACAGAATAAGGCTGTGCCTCGTAACTTCACGTACACTCGTACGTGCAGAGGAAGACGGTAAGAAGAAGCGAGTACTTGGTTAAAGTAAAAAGTAGAACTGTATTTATAATAGTTAATGTCTTCAATAAATCACTATTTATCTTCATCTAACTTTGTCTAAATACAAATGTGTAAAGCAGTTATCTGCTCACCACTCATTGCGTGCGTCTGTCGTGGCGCGTCTTCGTTGGTTGATATAATGGCCTATATCAACCAATTAGGAACTACTCGTAAGTGCTACAGAATATTTGTCCTTATGACAATATTCTGAGAATATAACTCTTATAGTTATATTCTATTAACAATTTTTATAAATTGTTATGTAACGATTCACCCCCGTTACATCACCCCCTAACCATCAGTCACTTTAGTGACTGATTGACTAAATGGATACTCGTCCCAAATCATTTGGGACAGGGTTTGCACTTGTTGGTCCGCGTCCACTTTCCAACATCTCATCGCATGGTAAACAAGCCCATGCGATGCGCGAACAAGGCCGCCGAAAGCGCGTCTGCACGTCTCTTTGCGGACGCCGAAGCAGAAACAACAGCAACTGATGTCTCATCGGTTGCTGAAGCGACCCAGCCTGTGTCACTTGGTGATGCAGGCGCTGGTCATGAAGACACTCGTGTCTTCACAGAGTACGAGCTCGGTGTCTCGTACTCTCCTGATACGGAAGACGGATCCGTATCGACGGCGATTGAATCTAAGCCGCCTGCCAAGCGTGGCATGGACGATGCTTTGCGTCGTAGCATCTTTGGTTCATCTGATGAATCAGATGAACCATCGCCGAAGCGAAGGCGCTCGAGGTCGCGAGACTCGGGCGCTAACAGTGGTGTCGGTTCTCCTATGGACACCACTTCGCAACGAGGTGCCATTACTTCTGTCGGCACATCGCAGGAAGAGCGGGATCGCAATGTCTTGCGTCTCGCTCCAGAAAAGAAGGCATGGATGCCTCCAAAATCTGTCATGGATCACTTGTCGGCGACGACGAGTGATCGTTATCGAACACGATTGTTCGATTCGTCAAGGATCCATCACCTTGACCCCAGCGCGAAAAACTATCGCGCTGAACATGAATTCTTCATCGATGCTTTCTTTAGACATCGATGGTACAGTGGGAATCACAAACGTGATGGTCCCTCACTACTTCAGGCGTGGAACGCCTACATCCATAACCTTGAGGATGTAGGTCGTGACGCTTGGAACGACAAACTTATCAAAGCTCGTGATAAGTTTGAAAATCGAACCCCGACAGGTGCACGCTACAAGCTGCATCGTCTGTCAAGGGAGAAAAGGATTACCCTGCCTCTCTTGGGGAGACTCGTGCCCATGTTGTGTGAACAACTCTGCACGAGCACCTAAGGAGGCTTACCTCCTACCAGCCCGTGGTGGCGCGTACGTGTCTCTACTGAGATGTACGAAGGGATTGACAATCTAAAATCCCTTTACGACCGTGCCGGGAAGACTTTCTCCGGCGGTCCTTCTGCGGCACAGGATGTGCCGCGTCGTACTGCTCAACCAGACCCAGTACGTCGATCATCAGTTGGGAGCGGGGCTCCCAAGAATCCCAGGACGGGGGATAGCCGCGCCACCGGACGAGAGATAACTCGTCCGACGTCCGTTCACGTCGCGGTGGTTCAACAGCTGCTCAACTAGATAGCGCTGGCCACCGCTAGAGTCCTCTAATGGAGGTGGAGGAGGAGGAAAGACGCTCTCCACACGATCATGGGGATCGGTGTGTTCCCGAGAGCTTCTTTGATCGCGTAACTCTTGCGTTACGCGACGATCTCGAACACGAGCGGGGCAGGCGTCTACAATTGGCGGACACTGTCTTGAAGCATCGAGCTGAGTTTGCCTTTGCTCAGCTTGAGAACGAGAGATCTCTGACATCTCTTCGTGACGAGCTAAGGGTAGCTCGTGGGATTGTTGATCGGTCTCGGGCTGAGATAACCCGCTCTTCAGACCCTTGTTGATGCCCACCATCGGGAGCACAAGGCTCTCTGCGAGATGCTTGAGCGCAAGGGCGTTCTTCATCGGAAGAAGCAGCTTACTGATGGCACGGCTTAAGCCGACCAACGTAAAACGTGGGATGCGTTCGCATCTTACGTGGTAACTCGATTGTGTATGCATTGCCTAGGCGGTGCAATACACGAAATGGGCCGATGTACTTGGGTAGTAGTTTACTGATACCCAAGTTAGTCACTACATGCTTTGGTAGATTAACCGTAGACAGTAGGACTAAGTCACCTTTATTAAATAAAAGAGTGTTTGCCCTTCCATTCTTGTCAGCGTTTTTGCTTTTGCTTATCCACCGCTTCGGCGATGGAGTCTTGCACAAAACGGACTACCGTTTCACGAGCCAGTATGAACTCATCTGATGACTCGTTAGCTTCAGTGTGCTGTGAGCGCACTGCAGCAACATCAACCTTTTCTTCAGTGAGGGCTTCCGCACTCTAACTGACATCATCTTCTTCGATATCGATGTTGTCGATATCGGCATCAAACTGCATGACCTCTTCGTCAGAGCGTGATGAGCGTGAACCAAATCGGTTTTTGCTCGCGCGAGTCCCTCCCCCTTGAACCATAGTTACACTCTAGTAAGGTGGGTACACGCGGATGGCGCAAGTCATTCACGTAAAACAGTGTATGTGTCGTGGACGCATGCACCGAGTTGTTAATGGCAAACTCTACCATTGGCAGGAACTCACTCCAACTCTTAAAGGAGTGTACGTATCCTCGAAGTATCTCTTCAAGGACACGATTGGCACGTTCCGTCTGACCATCTGACTCTGGATGATCAGATGTAGACATCTTTAAGCGCGTTCCGAGTGATTTGAACACGGAACGCCAGAAATCAGCAGTGAATCGTGGATTTCTGTCTGAAACGAGTTCACAAGGCAACCCATGAAGTCGGAAGATGGTGTCAACAAAGACACAAGCACAGCCACTTGCCGTGATTGTCTCTGGTACAGCCACAAGGGTGTACCATTTTGCTGAATCTGTCAACAAATACGAGAATACCCGTATTCCCGCGTGCGTCTTTGGGTAACCCGAAGACAAAATCCATTGAGATGGATTCCCAGCACTCAGCCGGAACCGGTAGAGGCTGTAAAGGTGCACGCAGTGAAGGACTTGACTTCACTCGTTGGCAGACTCATCGCATGCGCGAACATACTTTCGCACAAACTGATACTGGCGGGGCCAGTAAAAGTCTCGAATTACCGTGAGATATGTCTTCTCTCGGCCACGATGTCCTCCTATAGGAGCATCGTGATACTCGAACATGATCCGCAAACGCAGATCAGTATCATCTGGAATGACAACACGTGGTGTGTCACCAGAAACGGCTGTATAATACAGTAAACCGTTACGAGTAGTGTATCGATCTGATGCAGATCGATACGCAGGCGACAATCGTTCAACGATTCTCGATATGGTTGGGAGAGATGTGACAACAACTTCACTATCTCACCATCTTGGGCGTATGCCCGCCTCACATCATCATACAACGTTGTAGATGGGACTGAGGACGTCACAACCGCAACAGTGACTGTCTTACTGTTGGGTTTCGCGACTGTTTCAAAGTCGGGACGACGTGAGAGTGCATCAGCGACGACATTAAGTCGTCCTGGTTTGTACTCGACCGTAAAGTTGCATTCCGCAAAGAATGACAACCACCGCGCCATTCGTTGTGAAAGGTGCGGGCTGTTCACTGCCGTGCGTAATGACGCATGGTCAGTGTAAACAACGAAGGGTCTATCTCCTAATAGATAGACTCTGAACTTCGCGAGTGCATACTTCATGGCAAGGAGTTCCTTGTCATGCACTGGATAGTTCCGCTCAGCTGGTTGCAGCTGACGCGACTGATAGCAGACGACGCGTTCAACGCCTTCAAGATCGTATTGCATTAATGCACAGCCGATTGCGAAATCGCTGGCATCACAGACCACATGAAATGGCCTGTCCTGATCGGCTATTGCTAGGACTGGGGATTGTATCAAGCTCTGCTTGATACCATCAAAGGAGCGTTGACATTCAGCGCTCCATAACCACCTCTCGTTATTTTTCAACAAACGAGAGAGGTGCACAGTCATCTCGGCGTAATTGCGTGAATACTTATGCAAATACGCCGCTAGCCTATGGAATTTTCGAAGACCTTTGACATCAACCGGCACAGGCCAGTCGGTGATCGCCTTGATCTTTTCGGGATCAGGACGTACACCGTTCTTACCAACGATGCACCCAAGAAGTGGTATTTCGCTTGCGGCAAATATACACTTCTTGAGGTTTGCATACAATTGATGCTTTCGCATGATTGTAAGAACCTGTCGGACGTGGTACCTGTGAACCTCAACGTCCGACTTTCCATCCATAGCTCGACTATGGATGAATACGTCATCGAAATAACTCGGCGCGAATTCTCGTACTGGTCTCAACAGATGTGATACGCATCTGTTGAACGTGGCAGGGGCATTACTAAGCCCTTGTGGCATTACTAGCCATTCCCAGAGCATGCCGCTAGGCGTGCTAACTGCGGTATAGGATAGATCCCGTTCCCGCATAAGGATTTGATAGAAGCCATCCATCAAATCCATGGACGAAAAGATGGTACGCTTTGACATACCATCAATGATTACTTCCTTCCTCGGTATCGGCGTCTGAGCCGGTACCGTTGCAGCATTCAATTTGTTGAACGCGTGCACTATCCGCCACCCTCCTGTTGCTTTTCGCACACAAAGGTCGGAGAGCTATGTGGGGAAGTTGATTCCCCTCACATGGCCCGCAGCTAAACGATCGGCAAAGAAATTGTCGATCGCAAGTACTTGTTCACGAGGCAGTGGCCACTGCTTCATGACACAGTACTTCGAGCCTGGTTTAAGCTCGACCTCGTGTCGAATACCTTTATCCTTCGGTAATTTGCACGGAACAGTTTCAGGGAATACATCCTTGAATTCAACCAAATCTTCATAGAGAGGATTTTTCTTGAGCGATTCCCACGATTGGGAGTCATATCGCTCAATTCGTGTCTTTTCATCTAGGACGCTCTCGTCCATAGATGAACTACTGAGAACTCTCTCGTTCTCAGTAAACACTGTTGCTGACCTTATGTCGGTTACACACTCGTCGTCAGCACCGAGTATGCAGATCTGCTTGACTTTGCCACTACGCAGATCACGCAAGAACCTTTTATGTTCGAGCGTTGGCAACTGAGTGATCTCCGAAGTTAACTTCGGAGGCGCAATCAGATCAAGTGTATAAGCGCCTACACTTGATCCGTTATTGATCATGACATTCAATGTCTCTGTCATTTCCTGGGGACTTATTCCCTCAGGCTTCGAAGGACTTATTCCTTCGTCTTCCCGGGGACTTATTCCCGCGGGTTTCGGGGAACTTATTTCCGCCGTATTTGTACTATCGGAACTTATTCCCTTTACTTCCTCTAGCTGGGGTTGCGCAACCACAGCGAGATCCTCTACGAAAGACTCTCCAGTCGATCTAGGATTATCGTTTCGCTTAACCTGAGCGATCGATTGTTTCTCTTCTAGATGTTCCCCGCTAGGGATACATCTTTGTCCCAGTCCACCCGACTTATTCGAGTGGTGGACCTTCGGCGCAGCCTGTGTTTCCTCACATCCGCCGGAACTTTGCTCCGAAGTGTAACCGTTTGGTACACTAAGGTTTTGTGCAGTCGTACTAACGACCGTACCACAAGTGAGGCCATCGCACTCACTCGTAGTACATCCACACGCTTGTGGACGCTCCAAAACGTTCATCAGATGGCCATCTGATGAACAAGCGGCAGGCATCGTTACTGTTCGATGTTGCCAGTTTACCCGTGGTTCGTACCTTCTGAGCCACGGTATTCCAAGGATGACACCAAATTTGTCATCCAAATCCAATACGATAAAGTCATCGTCATATTGGGTATCTTCTAGCGTATAGTGGATCTTCACTATACGCTTCATGACGGTTACGGATGCGCCTGTCGCAAGACGTACCGTCATCCTCGTAGGAGGTGTGTCACATTCACTGAATTTAAAGTGACCATCTTCTAGCGATTGGCGTCGCACAAAATTGTTGGACGCCCCACAATCGACTAGAGCTCGAAGGGACAACTTATTCGTCACTTCGAGTTTCAAGGTAATGAGTGAGATTTCACTACCTAGAGCAGCAACGCACAACGTTTGTGTGCTGGGAGCAACCTTCATCAAGAGGCCTACAAATTCTCTTGACGTTGCTGAACCAGTAGGGTGCTCCGCACCTACTGATCCTGTCCGTTTTTTTGACGTTCCATCCCGTTGTTGCGTCTTTGCACCAACAGCGGACCCTCGTCCCTGCCCCTTTCTCATGGGTGGACGGTCACTACGCCCAGTGTCGCGAGACACTGGACGAGGGGCACTACACTCGTAAGCGTAGTGTCCTGTCTTTTGACATCTGTTGCATCTCTGCAACTTCTTGTAGCCTGTAGAGCGAGCCTTCTCGCTCTCTACATAACAGAGTTCCATCGGCTCTGGATCTCCGCTGTCATATCGTCTCGGTTGACGATATGATGTCGAGCTGGTGCGAGCCTGTCTCAGACTGAAGTCTTCCTGCTTCGCAATGGAAATGGCTTGTTCTAGTGAATCTAGTTCAAGCCGGAACAGGTGAGTCTTGACGGGACCATCCGCAAGACCCAGCATGAACACCGAAACCAACGTGTGTTCATCCACCGGATTGGAGCTTATACAACTCGTGAGATGTCGTATATGTTGAGCGTAAGCGTGTACATCACGCTTACCCTGCTTGAGCTTCAAGAGTTCGGTTCGAGCTCTGAACTCAGCTCTAGGCGGTTCAAACGTTTGTCTGAGCCGCGACTTGAAGACTTCCAACGACCCAAACGCATATGGGTCGTGCAACTTGAGCCCCAGTGCCCAAGTCTTGGCACGTCCTGCCAGATTTGACTGGGCAAATGCAACTTGCATATCCCCGTCGTCGATGCGACGCGCCCTTATGGCGTCATCCAATTCGACGAACCATCTCAAGAGGGAGTCTTC